TTTAAACGGTCAAAAAAACGAAATATATAACGTATCCTATAAACTTCGTTAACTTATTTACAATTTATTTAAACTAAGCCCGACGTTTCAGATGATAAAATCCGGGTTTTAAACCGATGCTCTTTTACTCGCTTTAACTACAGACAATACTTCAGTTTAAAGGGTCTCTGAACGCTGTTGACATGGTAAAATAGACAAATTGCTTTCTACTATTTGTTAGGACAAGAAGAAAAGAACGTATATCTAAATGTGTATATATCTTTAAATCCACAAATATACAATAAACACACACCAACAAAGTCAAGCCTGATTACGAAAATAAAATCGCGATATTAACACTAATTGTATCAACACGAAATACCAGTAAATATAACCACCGTTTAGCTTAAACGACGTCTTTATCGACCTCACTACTTCACTTACCCGTGCGGTCCTACGTACGAGCGGACAGCGATTTATTTAATCTACGTAGATTAACTTCACAGAAGTAACGTAAATCATATGAAATCCAAAAAAGTGATATTTTTGACATGATGGCATTATATAAATTAATAATCAATTGAGATTATCTCAATAGAGATAAAAAAATTATTACACGGACGGAACTTAAACGTAACGCTGCGCATGCGTTCCGTGCTGTCTATGTAATTGAGCTACCGTGACCTAAAAATCAGTAAATCCTAACTTATATATGATATCAATGAATTTTAGAAGATATGTCAACATTTGTTTTGTAATATATAAACGACAGGCTTTTCCTTGATTTATTATGTCAGGGAGTAGTGCTAGGGCAAAAAATTCTGTATTTAGTAAAGTTTTAGAGTTCAAACAATTATTAAAAATAGTCAACCTACATGCAAGCAAACCATTTGAGCGATTCGATGATCATTAAATAAAAATCGCTACACGCTTATAGTCCCTCGCTTGGACCATACAAGCTTTACCTCGATAACAAGGTGACCGTCAGGATTCCCTTCTTCACACATCACATTGTCTTAATCACCTATTAATTGCCAATCGAAATATCTGTACATTGTTTTTAATAAAATGTCCTTTGATTTTAATTTAATATTTAAAATGTATATTTTGTCGAATATTTTTGCGCAAAATATTGTAAAATTTTTATTATTTTTAACATAATTTGTAATTACAATCTTTTATAATTATAAATTAAGTTAAAAATAATAAAAATATATTCTTTTATACAGTAAAACTTAAAAAGACCAAAAAAAAGATACATAAGTAAACCCCGTTATAAGGATACACTTTCAAAACATAACCGGGCCACTACAACGGAAAGTTTATGATTTTAATGGAATAGAGATATTGTCAACACGGAAGTATTGGGGTTCGATCCCTGTCGTGTTAACTAGAGCTTTCTACCGTGTTCACTTAACGAGCCTCCGTAATGTTTTCGCTTGCGCAGGAGCATATAAATCACAGCGTTTAGACAGTGTTAGGATCGCCGCACAAGTGTTATTTTAGAGGCAGTTTTATCGATATATACTAATATTATAAAGCTGAAGAGTTTGTTTGTTTGTACACGCTAATTTCAGTAACTGGTTAGTCAAACTGATTATATTTAGATATTTACAGGGTACAAAACATGGGGATGAAACAGTGGGGAATGTGGAAAAAACAGGAAAATCGTTGTTCTTTGATAGCTTCCGTTGCATGTTGTGAAAACAATTTTCGCAATAAAAATTATTACCCATAAAGATTCTTCTTTAAATGTTTATATGACTATTTATACTAAAAGTATTAACTTGGTAACGGCTAAATTTTTTAAGCTGAGGAAGTTGTTTGCGCCACCATAAGTCGCACGCATTACTACTGTTTTCAAGATAGAATTGAAATTCAAAAATATTATACGCCCATATAAATACCTATCATAGTAACATAGTCTTGATCGGAACTACTGAAAAGCACCCAAAACAAGGTTGTAGTTAAAAATATTTCTCCAATATATTTCGCGCTTGGACCATTTTAAAGTTTCATTTAATATGTACCGCTTGCGTAAACTACATAGATTGAAAAAATATTTTTTATATAGATATAAAAAATATTTTTTCAATTAGAAACAGCAGTTCCTAAGATTAATACGTTCAAACAAACAAACTCTTGAGTTTTTATAATATTACTTAAGATATTTTTTTTTAGACTCGGTAAACTTCTAACAACAGCAAGCAATTCTCCCATGCACTTATTCTATAACAAAACTGAGACTGAAAATCACTTATGCGCGTGCGCATTGCGCGTGTTTACTCCAATTTCGAGTGCAATTTAGCACTCGACTGTACGAAGGCCCAGTTAACAGGCGTACAATCAAGTGCAACAGTAAATCTTGCTTGTACCGTCGAGTACACACCGAATGAACAATCACGAATGCATGTTAGAGGGAGCAGTTGAAATTAGTTCACAATTCGAACCTTCGCGGTTAGGTATTGCAAGTGATAAAATGAATAATGGTACTTTGTCCACACAAATTGCTAGTTTGCTGGCAAGTGCTAATATATATTATGATAAATGATAATACTATTATTAACTAGCCATGTCAGGGATTTCGCCTTCGAAGAATAGTAATTTTGGCCATCAAAATTTGTTTTTGCAAACCCCATTAGAGATGTTATCCACGACGTATGTCGCGTTTTTTTTTCACATTTCCTGCTGTGTTTTGCCCCTATTAGTCAGCACAATGTTTTATAGCCTTCTTCAAGATATAAATATATTCGAATTTTACTTTGCGATTAATCTACAACTAGTCTTATAAAGCCATGGTTAGCGCATTACTAGAAAACATCGTGTATGTACGCACTTTTTCAATTTTGATTTAAAAAACCTTACTCGGTTCAACTTTTACTTGCAGTAGTTGGTTATAAATGTGGCAACCCTGAATTAATTATTAATATACTTAAAAACAAGAGAAAGGTACCCACATACCAGATAAATCCTTGTACAAACATCGTGAGAAAACGGTTTACGCACTATCGCGACATCACACAACTAAAACGAAACGACACAATACAAATTGGGTAACTGGCCATTTCCATAAATGTTCTATCCGATAAATCTACCTGCAACATAACGCAGTAGGGTTGTCGCGTGCGATCGACATAGTAATGAAAAATAATTAAAATAAAGACACATTTTTTTTGTGACAGAAGAGGTGAAAAGTGCATTTGATGGAAGGTGCCAACTTAGCTATTTCAATCACTGCAATGAAGCTCTGCAGATTTTCTGTGAACTTATTTTGGTTTTGGACATTGAGAAACCCTTAGACAGAACTGAAGCGGGGATTGACACTTCAGGTCTTCATATAGGTTCGTATTTGGGACGGAATTTCGTTATCCCTAACCCCCACTCGTTTTCTGAAACATCTTGGACCTCATTTGAACAAAAAATGGGTGGATTATGTTGAAAGCAAAAATATGTTGACAGTGTATCATGTTAAAATGGCCGATATATATCAACTTTTATCTAGACGCCATGCTGATCTGTCATCCTGTCCTCTAGGACCTGTGCTGTGTTTCGGTATTTATTTGCTTTAATATGTCTTGATCATTTATAATGACAGCCCTACCCGAAAGACCCTTTCACTAGATCCTCTTTGCTTTAATTAAAGCGATATCGTTACGCAACGGCCTGTATAACTATTAAATATGTAAATGTTCATAAACAGCGAACTATATTCGCGGATATTATCGTCTTGTAGAATAAATGTTTTCTTGAAAACAAAATTAAGTTGAATTAATAGGTTTTATCTTTTTTTTTAACCGGGAAGATAAAACATTATATGTGATATACTTCTTCCAACCATATAATATATAAATCAATATGCTGTCGATCGGTTCTGGTTATGGACATTTAGAAATATAGACTGAAACTGAAGGAAAACTTCTGTGGACGGTAGTTTGTTGTTTCTTCGAGTTAATAAAATAAAGATTTTTAAAATTTATTTAAAGTATATAAAATCCCCAGAAACGTAAAAAAGTTACGTTACTATGTGGTTGAGACTTTTTTAAAAGGTACAACATACTACAGTGTCCTAAAAATAGGGCAAGTGAGGGGTAATTGAAAATGTGTTGTTCAGCGAATGGTAAGTAATTGTTACGGATGCTATATTAAATCCGGGCAGGTGATAAAATGTCTAGGTCGCGATATTCCGGTACCGCTTAAGAAGGCCGTTTACAGTACTAACATATCACCTCAAGCTAACACGTGGATTGTCAACAAACTATTGTTTAACCCTTTTAGTACCGGGAACCGATACATCGGCTCGCGTCTTGTAACGGTTTACTACTCGCAATGAGGGAGAACATCTCAAAATAAATGTATAATACGTTATAAATAATCCAATTTCATTACAAAGATATTTAAAAAAATATTTAGAATCATCCATCTTTGTACCTTTAACTTATATTTTGTTTTTTTTTTTATGTTATATTTTTTATCTTGTTACAAAATATATATTGGAAATACAAAATATAGTTTATAATAATTGACCAATACAGTAAAGTTGACTTAGTATTGCAAATAAGTTTTTAAAGAAATCTCAAATGATTTCATTTGCAAGGTCCTTATTTTTTATAAATTTCAAATTACTTCGAAAAAACTATATCATAACAATACCCTTTTGAATCATGTTTTTTATTAAGCTTTAGTTTTAACAAGCACGTTTCTGTACCCCTTGTGAAACTGTGAAATTCGCCAGTGTTTTTCGCATAGGCACCGCTATTTTACTCTGCACTAAAAGGGTTTAGAGCCAAATCGTATTGAACTAACCAAAGCTATCTACTAAGTGTTACAATTACAACTCCGATTTTAAAATCTATTCAAAGTTTACGAACTTAACAAACGTTTAAAAACAAGACGACTAATTAATTTCACATTTCAAACCGTTATTTAATTGCTATTCGATCGAACTCATGTCCAAGTACTATTTATTTCGTGCTATTATCACATATGGATTTTATGACACAATTTAGAATGGCATTACTTACATGATGATCTGGTACGTCTCCTGGGGGTGGAAGGTCGCTTGAGGCTCAGGTCGACTGGCTCTAGTTGCGTGGGAGGTGTGCAAGCCTGCAAAAACGTATAATATATAACTAACACCATTAACATCGTTTTTGTTTATTATATTATTACCTTCTTCACATAAGATTGGGCGGGAAATATTTGTTTTTATAATTGAGAAGGACAGGCAAGCATGAGGTCACTTGAAGGTAAGTGCAACGCCTCAGCAATTTCCAAAAAGGCCTTTCAGTTTAGTCACATTTTAGTGTCAGTCAGTGGATTTCCCAACATCCAAAGCCAATATAGTTCGTCTAAACTTAAAGGCTTTTTTATTCCTCCAATATTCAGATTTCTACACAAAATCCAATCTGTTAGATAATTTTTTTTAAAAAAATTGTCGGACCCGGTGGGGATCATACCCACGACCCGTTGATTATTAGCCGTACACCGCTACCATTACACCAAGGCGCCCGTCTAAACATATTTGTTCATAATATAAGGTTTATTTTATTTTTTAATAATTGCCCAGAAGGGGCCTATTAAGTGTTTGAGAAAAAAATATATCTATTTTTAGATCCGACAATTTTCCCATAAATATAACCAACCGGACAAGCCCAACATACAATTACAGACAAAGTATCATGTAATATTTATCGTTCTAATTAAATTAATCGTCCTAACCGGTAGCTCAGATATAATTAACATAATATTGTTATTTATTACCACCTGTTAGTTTCATATTCATTACTGACTTTCTGAAGGTTTAAGGGTACGTACAGACATATAAACAGGAGAAAAATAAATAGTCTGTTCATATCGCGAGTTATGCACATCCAATCAATGCCATGTGCCGCAAAGTATTTTAAACGTCGGGTCATGAATGAACAATAAATTATAAATTGAACAATTTTTATGACACGGGCAGACTTTAATTTTATACATAATATAGTGTCATGATGTGCACGACTGTGTATGCAAGATGTGAAAAATATTTAAGTTTTCAAATGTCGGGTCATGGTTTAAAACTAGTACATATTTCGTGTTCTAAACAATTAAGTGTTTTATTTAAATGCAAAAATAATACGTATTCATACTTTATCTAAGTAGACCGTGTTATTTTAATGTTTTTTTTATAAATGCTTAATATATTAAATGCTGATAACTAGTGTTTAAAATTACATTTTAATTAATAATATGGAAAATTCAAATGATTGATGTTCATCAAATAACTACTTTTTCATCTACCTATCTATCGTAAATACACAACTTTCATGTGTAAATGTTAATAAGTAAAGGTTTTGTTTAAAAAAACACCTTACGCGAGTACTTAGCACCTAAATAGGACATTTTCAAGGGTTTGAAACCGGTCCTCACGTGGGGACACTCCCGTGACTGCGTCTGCTGCAAAGCATCCGTACCGTGGTGCCGTAGTTAAAATGAATTGTAAATAACTATATCGCGTTTCAAACCATTACAAGTGTTGTAGGGAACGTAAGTCATTTTATAATTTGATTTTGTGCGATGTATTTAAAAAGAAATAGACTATATTTCGAAATATACTGGCTCATAGCGCCATCTTACCCATCTCCCAAGTGAATACGGAGAACGAATGACCTAGAGACATGCAACCGCACAGGGTCACAGAGTAAACAAAAACTCGTGAGTCGTGATGAGCGCCGTACCTACTATGGCGACTACCTAGTGCAGAAGATGAGCCGTTGCGTAAGTATCGTGATCGCAAGCCACGCCTAGTGAATGTGTGTCTTAGGCCTCGGCTCCACTGCGAACGCTAAGCTATAATCATAATGCTCTTTATTCACATAATATTAATATTTAGCACATGATGGTATTGTGTGAGTCTTTTTAAATTGAAAATATGACACGGGCGGGAATGGTCTGGTATCCACATCACTCTGTGCTGCTGCGGTACCGATATCAGGAAGTACTGATTACAGCTTAAACATTATTTATTTATTATTAAAGTAGACTATCTTATATAGATTACATATGTATAGATATCGAGGCAGGCTTCTCAGGCTCAAATAAATGATCTTCAATTCGTGTGCGTTTCAAAAACAATTTAAGAAGCCAAAAAGTATGTATGTACTTTTTGGCTTCTTATATATAAAAAAAAAATTTTTTTTTTATATAATTTAATATAATTTCAAAGATAAAAAAATGTCCGCAACAATATATGTCTGTCTTTAGAGATTAAGTCACAAGAACCGTTTTATGGTTAATATGAATCTAGCAAAACAAAACAACGTTCGCCAGATTAGGGGTTGTCCATTAATCACGTGACCTTTTTTTAGAATTTTTAAACACCCCCTCCCCATGGGTACTAGTGAGGTTTAAGACCACCTCCCCCCCCCTTCTCAACATCACGTGTATATTTAGTACCTACAAAGAATCTTAAAATGTTCTGAATATTATCTTAATATAAATACAGGTATAAACTATAATCTAATTTTATTCTGAAATTAAGGACCATAATAAAAATGTCTACACCATTTGTTTAAAAATCGCGCGTTTGACGAAAAAAATAAATACACGAGATATCTCCCCCCCCTTGTGTTATTTTCGTGATTTCTATCAACCTCCCCCCCTTTCAAATCTCACGTTATTAATGGACAACCCCTTAGCAAAAATATCGTAAGCTAGCTTTGTAGACTAACTGTAGTGGAACGCGAGCTTTACCGAGTACGATCGCTTCCCAAGTCACAACATAGATTAATTATTTCGCTATATTCCGTAATACGTTGCCGTTTTTAGCTTTAATAGTTTACACGTTTAGATGACGTTCAGTTCTCTATAGAAAGCATTGACAAATTACGACAAATCGTTAACGACACGGGCAGGACTTGACACAGTACGTAATTTTAGGATACAGTAGCTCAATTGGTTGGAGCAACAGCACAGACGCTATGGATGCCGGTTCAAGTCCTGCCCGTGTCTGAAAATTTTTTAATCTATTCATTTCAATTTAGATATAGTCGCTTTACCTATAGGTTAAATATTAAAGTTTTCGAATATTACATTTGCACGAGAGTTTCATATTGAAAAATATTGATGATGATGCGCAAGACACGCGATGCCGGTTCGAGTACCGCACGCCGAGTCGTATTTTTTTTAAATTTAAATATATTTTTAATGACATCAATGCGCATTGATAAGAACCGTGCATTGTACGCCTGCCAGTCCGGCTCGACCCGAGAGCTTCCGAGCCGTACTGCTCATCACTTTAACCTTCATGTAAGAAAATTGTTTCACATATACATAAATTATAGATATATATATTATACATATATTTTATAACACTACTTGCTAAAGACATATTGATGAAGTATAGCCTCAAGTCTGAGCCAATATTAGAGAAATATTAAATATTGCATAAAAATATCAGTGAGTGATGCATGTATCAATAAGTTGAGAAAATTCGACGATGAAGTGTAGGCCTCGGTAGCTCAATTAGTAGAGCAACAGCGCGGAGCGCTGACGATGCCGGTTCATATCGTGCCCGAGTCGAAAATTTTTTTCAATTTATTTTCGCGTTTTTTAAATTATATAGTGCCTTCATGTGTAACGTGTGAAAAATAATAAATTTTTCCATATTTCATATAGATAAAAGTTTCCTTTGTGGTACATATTGTAGGTCTTTGTAAGGGAAGGCTAAATCTAATTTGAAAAATTGTTACCTCAATAAAATACACTCTCAATTAGATTCTGATGTTATAAGGTAGTAAAGAACTAGCAACTGTGCTGTTACCATTCTCTTTAACCGACTGGTAGCCCACCACGCCACCAATAGTAATTATCGATGCTATGTCCGCGATATTATGTTTTATACGCGTGAAGGAGCATTTTTTCACACTCCGCCGGTTTTTCTGTACACGCTACTGTGACTTTAGTGATGAGATAAATGTCGATATTATGCAATTTTAAGCTAGAAAAGAGGCTTCACTAAATTAAGCTATTAAATATTTAAATAAAACACTTTAACGGTTTAAAACGCGATTTTTTTGTTAAACTTTTTTGAAAAATTTTTTTTTTTCCCCCCCCCCCTTTCGGGGTTTTTTCCCCCCCCCCGGGCCCCAAAAAAATTTTCCCTTTTTTTCCCCCTTTAAATTTTTTTTTTTTTTTTTTTTTCCCCCCCCTATTTTAGAGGCTCACTAAATATTTGTTATATTGTAACTCCATTGTAATATATTATTAAGTGGCCTATAGTGTAATAAAACAATTTTCAGCGTTTAAAACGCGAAATATATAAGGTAACTTTATTAATTCCAGCCCGGCGATGCGGCACTGCAACTAATTACTTTGCAGTAGCCTTGTAGTGACGATTTATTTATTTTTATTTAAGAAAACAGGAAACAAAAAGAAAAAGTACAGATATTCCCTTAAATATTTTCACAGATAAAATCGAGGTTTAACTTAACACAACTAGACCATGAAAAACAATGACTGAAGATAGAGTTAATTATTTATTAATTGTCTACTAATCGCGTGAAGTATATACCTACAATACTTTATTTGGTATGAAAAGTGGCTTTAGTTCGTTCATGAGGATGTATTATAACCTGTTGTGGCGTATTTATACAATATGTACTTGTATAGTTAACGTATTTCTTGGCATAGCATAAAACGCGAGAGATCTATCCAATGAAAATATAACATTTTCGGTCGGGCACTGCAGCGTGAATGAGGTCAGTAAGACGTATTAAGAAATTTCTTTCCCATCCAATGTCACATAAACAATTATTTTAAAACTACTAATATTATCTTAGTTAATATTCTAGCTTTAACTCGACATAAAACACAATTGTTTCGCCAAGTAACAGATCACAGTGTCACATAGAATTCTTTATTAACCTGACTCAATAACTCAACTTCCATACCAGTAAGCGTGTCTTGATAATGTAAATTTTACCGACTGCAAATAACCACTGTCAGTTGCTTAGAATGCTATATTTGAGGCTTGTAAGTTTATGAGTCTGGCGACGGATATGGGTCGCCAGAAACGAGATCGACGAAAACATCGACAATCTACGGACATGCCTAGCGGAGGCGTGTCACGGGCGCGGCTACTTTCGTAACATCCGATGTTTCCAATTGCGAATAGAAATCGTATGCTATCGTACTTTTTATCATAACTATGAAATCCTAGTTCCCTTAACGGTAGCAATAAATGGCTAATAATCAACGGGTCGTTCGATGCCCATTGGGCCAACATTGAATTAAATCATTCGTCTGAAAATCTGGATAATTAATGGGTGATAAGAATATCAAATCTCCATTCGGGTCACGAACCACTAAATATCCGAATATGCAAAGCTAACATAGGTCGATAACGCATCTTGTTTTGATGTTATATGGCTGGAGTATTTCACCTACCATCAAGTGATCATGCTTGTCCGCCCTCTATCATAAAACAATCGCATATTGTTGTATCTCACTACGTTGGTCCAGTGTAGATAGGTGGGCTCTAACAACTACCGCCATTATGTGACGATGATCGCGAGTGATGACTTTACGCTACGGGACCCGAAGTGATAACACCTGCCGACTTCTTTACATGCTTTATATGGATTTCACTGATTCTTTTGCTTCTTTAATTATTCTTAAACAAAATTGGTTTTACATTCGCTGACTTACCTCCATCGTATCGGGCAACATGACGCTACAGCGACCGTCGCGTTCGGATTCATCCTGAAATAAAAAGAAAATTGTTTAAAGTACTTATTGTATGTAGTTTGGGCCAGTAGTACACTGTCAACGGTTTAAAACGCGAAATGTTGTCTTCCCCGGTACGGCCACGGCGGCTGGGTCGGGGCTTAGTTAAAATATTATATTGTAAGTTATCTAAAGCGTTTTAAACCGTTAAAAGTGTTTTATTAAAAAAACTAAAAAGTCCCTATATTTATATACGATTATGATTCTATAAACAACTGTCTTTTGTTATCCTTAGTTTCAATTCGTTAAATAATTATATATTTTGATAAGATATAGACACAAAACAATCCATATTAATTTTAATAAAAAAATTAAAACGCGATATATTTTGGTTAAACTTGTTTGAAATTTTTTTTGGTCACGGGGAGACCACGGCGGCTACAAAGCATCCGAAACGTCAGGCCGTATTAAAAATAATTTTCAAACCAGTTTAACTAAAATATATCTCGTTTTAAACCGTTAAAGTATTTTATTTAAATGTGTACTACTTGCGTAAACTACAGACAGTATTTAATCCATATTCAATTTATTATAAGGCACCCATAAACACCATAAAATGTAGGACCTATGCACGACGTACGCATTTTCGGTTTCCCATAGGCAAAGATTGCTCAAGCGCAAGGATTGCAAGAGAAAGGAGATAAATGGAGCACAAATTGGACATCGTTGTCCTTGTCTAAGAGATCGCCGTGGGAACTTAGCATTTTGCTTTCACTACGCCGAAAAATATACCGCGCCACTGCCACACTCATTCGGGACAAAATTAATCAAACATTTTTTAAAAGTCAGCCTATATATTTCATAGTGTTCATTTTAAGTTTATGCTCAAACACACAATCAATTTTAATGTATACCTACTAATATTATAAAGATGAAGCTGTTTGTTTGAACGCGAAAATCTCAGGAAATACAGGTTCATTTCTACTTATTATTTTCATCATACTTATTATTTTATAGGTCATTAGTAGATACAAATCATCTTTCATGTGTCCCTATTTATAAATAAAAACACACACATATACAAAAGGTTTAATATCTTGGCAGTTCATCGCCAATACAAAATCTAGTCTAATTCCGATTTCTTATTAAAAACCGAGGTAAAAGCTTAATAAATGTAAGTTTGCAACATCTCAGTAGTATCAAATAATAAGCTATTAGGCGAAGGTCGAGAGATGAGCGGACACACCTTGCAATATAGAGCTGTGGTCACAACGGTGGTTTACGATTAAATTTTATGTAAAAAAAAATATGGTTTTTACAACTCGAAATTATTGGACGTTTCCCCTCGATGGGCATGGGGCGAACACATTTTTGTGTCCATTTCACTGAACCGTTCTTTAACGGGCAAGTAGTTGATCAGACTTCTGTACCCTGCCCGACCCAAACAAATTTTTGACTTCCTGGGGTTCGAACCCAGGACGTCTCGCGCTTCACGCAATGCTAGGCAATACGTTTAACCATTTGGCTACAAAGATTAAAAAGGTAGTTGTTGAAATAAAAAAAGTACTGTACGATAAATGGTTTAATATCTATATATGATTTTTAAACAATATACTTGTTTAAACATAATATATAACAATATTAAGTAACATATTTCGTATACCACCAAATTTAAATGTGTACTACTCGCGTAAATTACAAACTGTATATCATGTGTTTTGTGTCTAAAGAGTGTAAAGATATGTTAATATTTTACCATCACAAAAATGTACATTACTATAAAATCTCCCTAAGAGTCCTGAAAACGTATTTAAGGACTTAAGTACCGATTATAATGGAAAGGGATAGAGAAAATCTTTTTACATCTAACAAATTATTGTTATGAATTGAAAAGTACAATGTACACGAACCCTAATAGTAAATGACTAGTTTTTGTATGTCGGTTCGCACCTCAAACACTTAAGTCGGTCACGTCGTCACGATCTAGCCTCAAATAGGAAATAGGGCATAATGCAATTCAATTAAATCTATTTTTTATACTCGGAAGAGACAAGGGGAGGTGGAACTCTACTCCTTTTCCGATATTACGAATACAACTTTGAATAATCAGCCTACATGTAGATTTTTTCTGCTTAAATCCATTTTTATACATATTATAGTACTGGAGAGTTTGTTTGTTTGAACGCGCTAATCTCAGAAAATACTTTTTCCTATTTTATTTTTGAGTTGGCAATTTATCAAGAAAGGCTGTATAACATTCCGTTGCGACCGAAGGAGCACAGAAACTGTTTAAAATGTGGCAAAACCGGGACAGTTATTAATCTTTGAGAGCTTCCGTTGCTTAAATTGCAGAAAACGGTTCACGATACCATAAAATATTTACGAGTATGACAGGATAATAACTCACTTTTATTTAGATAAAACACTTTACCGGTTTAAAACGCGATATATTAGTTAAACTTATTTAAAAATGATTTTTAACTTCGGTCCGACGTTTCGGATGCATTGCAGCAGCCGTGTCCGTTAAATTGTTTTATTTAAATGTGTACTACTCGCGTAAACTATTTATTTACAGTATTTAACTCTATTTTAATGATCTAAAAAAAACGCAACAGTAATATCTAACTTTAAGATGAACTCGCAAAAAATGTCTTCATGGTAATGAAATTTGATCGAACAATTGTGTTCAATTGTTGAGTTGTCAAAATATATTATTAGTCTTACAGTAGTTTTTGAAATTGGGATTAAAAACTGATACTCTGCACAATAATATACAAGCTAACGGTTTATTTTAAACGGTTTAATTTAATGATTTAGGCAAAAACCTACTATACTACCTGACACAGAAGCAGAACTTCAGGTACACAAAGAGACAGTTTCACTGAAAATCGAACCTATGGTCTCGCGCGTTCACCGCAACATAAAGATGAATAAGATTTAACAATAAAATATTTACGCTATATGAAATGGTCTAACATCATTTAAAATATTTTCTAACATTTGAAATAAGGTAACAGTCAGTCTAGATCCTGGTCCGCTTAAAGGAATTATTGAAATGGGGTAACACACTATAAACTATTACTGACTTCCAAATAAATATGCCAATAGTAACTCCTTCCTTTAAGCCTAAACAAGTGGGCGTAGGTAATAGATTGGAGCGATTAGTAAAACTAGACACCTCTATCATAATCTATACCACACACTGTCTGTTGGAAAAAACAATATACAATGCTAGGTAAGTGCGGTGTGGTGGGATGAAACACACATAAAATTACTATGAGTTTGATCAAATGAGAACTAAGTGGAAGGGGTCTAATAATATTTAAGTTATAACATATCTTGATGTACAACAGTTTTATAAATATTGCATATTATATACTGTCAAACTTCAATATTTATTATATTCAGTGTTGTGACTACTTCCAAGGTACAGGTATAACAAAAGCTCCACTTACTCTTTTATTTTACTGTTTTTTGTCTCTTTGTATGTGGAATAAATCATTTGATTCGACACATCATGTTAGATTATTAATTTAGTCAACTTTATTTGATGATAAAGTTTAAATAAAATACCAGACATTTATTAAAACTTATGACTCGGGTTAAACTTTAATAGTTTTAAAAGGCAAGAGATAAGTTTGAAATGAAGTAATACATACTTTAAAAGAGATTAACTCACCATGTACACCATGGAGCAATTTTGTTGTAGATCTATTTATGTTTTGTCAACCTAAAAAATATCTTAGTAAGTATAACATTGTTTGTATATATCTGCCTGGATGTTTTATTTAGTTTATATAAATAGCAAATAGTGCAACCACAAACTAATTAAGTATGCATTTTTACATAATAAGACCAACAAATTAAAATGGAAGCATAACCATCTGTATGTTATATTGTCATGTTATAATTTAATTAATGCAACACAATTAATCAATTACTTGAAATTGCAGTACTACTAGTGGTCTAATGATTAAGAAAATTGTATTTTTTGGTATTCTGGTAGCATACCCTTAGCTTGAATCCCAGAAACACTAGATAAACAGTTTTGGTTAGGAAGAGCAACACCCATAAACCATTTGTCAATAAATAAAATGTATGTACACAGCCAAGATGATTTCACCCAATAAGTGAAATAATTATTTTATTTAAATTAACTTGTATGTTAAATTTAAGGATATGGAGTAAATAAATTTAATGATATGGAAGTGCTGGACGCCCTAGCATGGGAATTATTTACTTAAAAGGGTTTCAAGCTCAAAACTAGACTGATATCTACATAAATATTTTGTTATTTTGTCCTACAGTAAGATTAATAATATTAAATTGTTGTAAACCTACAATACTTACAATTCATAACTTTCCGGAGATCTTCATAGCTATTGCTTAAACTAATACTGGCCTTAAATAGGAATTATTTATTTTACATTTTCTTTTTAAAGTAATAAATTTATAAGGAATAAGCAAGCATAGTGTTGAAGATCTGAAACAAATAACTATTCTAAAATACTTTATTTTATGTAAGCCTAATATTTATTTTTAACTATGAATGAAGCAGCACTTTGCTAAAGCCATATAATATTTGTGTTACACCTAAATTTATATAAAAGATTTACTTTATCATTGCCTTTATAAGCTATAAGATAGGCAATGTTTGAAGCTCTGATGGATAAACTATTTAATTAAGATTTTTATTAAGAACAATAAATTTGAGACACTGATTAAAAATAAAAATGTTCCCATTATTTCTATTTACCCATTCTTCTAATCCTCATTATCACAAAATTTTTTAATGAATTTTCAGATAAACAGGTTACACAAACTCGAAACTAACACTAATAAGTAACTGAAACTCATTTGTTTTAACTTAAAAAGTTTCAACTTGCGTACCGAAGAAAATGAACTGAAAACAAATGTGAAATTATGAAAACAAAAAAAAATCAAACGTCACTATTAACTGTCAAAGTCATTTTTAACACTAAACTCAGCGGCAAGTTTAAACCCTTTTTAAATATTTACACTAGCTTGTGAAATGATTACATTTTAAATAAAAAAAAGATTGTTTAACAAAATTAATTTAAGCGAATTTCTAGATTATTTAGTAGAATACTGTAATAGTTAATTTGTAAACCGGATCTGCGTACGGTAGAGACCGTTACACGCCCGTAGCAGCCTTCTATTGCTGCATAACTAATGTTCAAAGCGATAGTAAAATATGACCACTGGTTTAGCAAGGCTGAATTCACTGCAACTTTAGTCTCTATAGCACAATGCACCGTACACTTACAATGCCATAATCATTACGAAAAGACAATTACTTAACGCGCTCTCAATTAAAGGTCGAATAATCAGTTTTTGCTGGTTTAACGTTTAAATATCTGGTCGTAATCGTGTCGGTCACCTGCCTATAAAGTCGAATGAATAATGTATGTTTGGTTGGCATGAACCTAATAGCACGCCATAAAATTTTAATGAAAGGTTTATGACGGTGAATTTAATCACTTTTCTATATAGCGACATCTTGTATCGAATAGATTAAACATAGATATGACGTCACAATTTTAACTGTATTTATTTCGGAGACTAATTAATTCGTAATCATATACACCACGAATATCAAAGGGCTGTGTGGGGCCCCAACACCATGGTCTTGATTAGGCTGGAAAGTTATCAAGGAGAACTGGACAGGCTTGGTCTACCCAAAGGCCGAAGAATAGGATCGAGGATAGAGGTTTTCGCTTGTTCTCGACCAGGACAAACATCGAGAAAGTATTTACATCATTTAAATTCTATCAATATTTAGATTTTTTAACTTTCACTTAAAACTATAAATTAAACAACATAATAACAAGGGATAGTTTACTTATTTATAAGTTTTCGCTTCTTCATATGATGGTCAATTCTTTCTTCTAGACTCACTGAAAAAAAAACATAGTTTTTACTTAAAAACCAGAATTATCTATTTAGAAGTATAGATTTAAAGCAAGAAAGAATAACATACAGCACACTTCTCTCTTCGCCAACGGAACATACTTTCTGGATCTCACACCCTGTATCAAACCTTCAGTATAAGCCATGATACTTTCTCTTTCTAACATATTAGATTCCTTATCTGCTATCTCCGTCTCTGCTTTTTGATTTTCGATACTTGAGTCTATTTCCTTATCAATATTTAAGGTATGAAAGATGGCATCTAAATTCTCAATGCAGTCTTTTATCATTGTAGTCCTAAAAGGTTTAACAAAGAAACAAATATTAGGAAAGTAAAGTAGGAAGCAATATTAATAAGTCAAATCAATTATCATTTAATCATATAGGTAACTACATTTTGAACGGTTTAAAACGTGCAATATATTTAGTTAAGTTATCATAAACCCCAAATGACCATTGCTGCTGAAAAAGCATCCGAAACGTCGGGCCGAAGTTTAAATATATTAAAAAGAAGTTAACTAATATATTTTGCGTTTTAAACCGTTCAGTAATTGTGTTCTTCTCGCGTAAGCTACAGGTAATACCTAGCGTCGATAAAGTTAAAATTAAGCTAATTAAAGTTCATTAAAATCTATAAATATTTTTAGGTCAAATGTTAAAACATCGACTATAAAAATGTAACGATAAATATTTCATTCTTAAACTAAATATCTTTTTAACTTACTTTATATTATGTGACGTCCACATTTGTTGTAAATTCGCAATGACCGTTTTCAATTCTTCCTTATCATACACCCATTCTGTACTTTTCTCTAAATCATAGGTGCAATGAAATAAATTTAGCGGAATGTCAATAGCCATATTATATTGTGGTTTCCTATGAAATATAAGCAAAAAGTAGACCATAATTAAATAAACATTCTGTGTTGCCATCCTAAACAAGAATTAATAATTAATAAATTAAAAAATATAGCTGAATTATTTTACCTTAATTTAGTTTCTACATCAAGAAGTTTCCTTACAATGTTGGTCTCCTCTCTTCCTTCGCCAATGAGTAGAAGGACACCCATAATACATCTAATTTGATGCCACAGAAAGGCATTACCTTCTATCACTAGGGCATACATTGATGTTGCTAGATAAAAAAATAATAATTTGTGGCATGTTAATTATACCTTTGTGAGTATTTTTTATACCAAGACTTACGATCATCGCCTTCAATAATTGGAATAATATCAGCTGTCAAAATTTCCCGCCTAAACTCCGTGACGCCATTACCGACGTCCATTTTACAAAGATGGCGGAAGTCGTGAGAGCCAATCAAAAGCGAGCACGCCTCTCGCATTTTGTCTATATTTAAATTTGATTTGGGGAAGTAATATTTATATTTTCGCTTCTTACAATCAAACCTGAAACATATTATACAATTGTGTATTCAGAAAAATTATCATTAAACTTAAATACTGTCTGTAGTTTAAGCGAGTACCCATTTAAATAAAACACTTTAACGGTTTAAAACGCGATATATATTAGTGATAACTTAGATTTAAAAATTATTTTTACTTTGGCACAATAGTTATATACTTTGCAGCAGCCGTGATCATGAAAAGACAGAGTGTAGATGGCTGCTGCAAAGCATTCAAAAAGTTTAAACTACTTAATAAATAATAAAAAAAACAAATAAATATCATGTTTTAACCAGTTGCAATGTTTTATTTAAATATAATTAAGCTTTATCTTTCCTACCTAGCGCTATATTCTGGTGTATCTTCCGGTATGGGCATCCATGCAACAGCCCTAATGTCTTTTGGCAGAACTCTATTCAAAATCTTACAATATGGCATTTCTGATGATAGAGATTCTGGAAGATTTTGTGATGACTTTGGGTGTTTGCTTCTAACTGTTATTGATATGACCTGTTAAAGGACATAAAATTATTAGAGTCTGTTAAGTTTTGCAATTTAGAATCTAATTGTGCTAACATAGCATTAAGCACAAGTTTATGAAATATAAACATCAGGTAAATAAGATTAATATTCAGACACATATGCACAATGAAACAATGCATTGTGTCCAAATCTGGGAGGAACACTATGTTGCATTTCATTAAATGAAACAAGTTTACAGGCTTTGTGCCTGTAGGAAAAAACATATGACTAAAACATCTATACATATACACATAGGAAAAATGAGATATAGTTTTTCTATCTACAAAATTTACCTGCCCAAAAGCACTAACACCCTTATCTGTCCGTCCACACCTATGATATTGAGACGTTTCTCTGCTTTGTATAAGGCAAGTTTTAGTAAATGCTCGAAACAGATGATGTTCTATTGTCTGTGCTGTGTCTTCCTGAACAGCTAGGCCATGGTAATCCCACCCAAAGTAGAGGACTTTTAGTAATATACGACGATAGTGACATCTGTAAACATTATAGTAGAAAGTTATGTAGAGTATTATGTTGAAACTATTATGTTGAGTACATAAGTACTCAACATATTAGTTTCAACAATAGTGATCGCTAAGAAAAGCTTTAAGACTAATTTTTAGAAGCCCGTATTGCATATAAAAGCAATTAAATTCGTTATATTTTGTTAACAAACTGCAATTCAGCTGCAATACTCACTTTGTGAAATCAAACTGTTTTTTATTTTTAATATTGCTTTCTTCATTGTCAGATAAATTTCTACTAATAATGTTCTTTAGTTGTGCATTATGAGCTTCCAATTGTAATATTCTTTCCACTAAATCCTGAAATTGTTAATAGCTTTATAAACAAGCGACTCTTATAGGTTATACGTTCATTCTATTTATTACTTCTTTGCTAAAATTGAGAAGTTCTTCCTTTGATATATCCTTGTTTCTCTTTTGCTTGGGTGGTATTTTCACTTTTTCACTCTTTTCCATCGTTGGTGGAAAAATACGTAAATAATATCGTAAATACAAACCACAACAAATAAAAAACCTCAACAGTAGTTAGTGTTATAGGACAGCTGTCAAACTTGACATAGCATGGTAAATGTCAGACAACAAATGACAAAAGATAAAAAATATGAACTATTGATATATGTAATACTATTAGTAATTTCTCTGAAAGGTCATTTAATAAAGTTAAAATATTACTTCGTGAAAGGAATATAAAATTTAATACATCGTCCTGCTAATTATGTAGGTAGTATCTAGATACCTGCCGGTTACCGTTAGGCGCCTTTTAACTAGCAGAATAATAAATAACACTGCTCTTTTAAGTAGACACACGTTTAATAAATATCAAATTACACTCATACTTGAACGTGGTCACAAGCAACATTATTTAATTTATAAACTGGATAAGAGTTTCGAATTTATGACATATTGTTTTTACAAAAATGAGTTCGATCCAATAATAAACCTCGGAAAGGAAGTCATGTTTGAAAAGAGATTGAAAAAGAAAGTTAAGTTCTTTTTAAAGATCAAGTCTGAGATGTTGAGCAACGCCTGCGGCATCCGAGGCACTGGAGATGCGTTACTGGCATTTACAAATAAATGTGCTTAGGCCACTTTTTCGAAGGAGCCACTCGCAGCAGCTGATTTAATAGAACTAATAGTTTATTTTGTCGATATAGTGCTTAAAGTACAAATACCAAACCGGCGACTCTTGGTCTGTTACCCCCCTTTTCTTTTCCTGCAAGATGTTCGCATACTTGATTGTATCGTATTACAATACCTACTTTATTACATTGTAGAACATTTTTAACAGAACCTTCGTCATACACGTACTAAATTTAATATTATGATAGTAATGCATGCTGGTATCGTGATACGAAATTATACGCTTTTTCCGATTTCTACGCTACTAGGGATGTAATATTACATCGATGAAATGTATTTTATCTTTTCATTAAAGCGCAAATTATCTTTAATCTCTATTTAAATGCGCATAAAAAAACGTTTTTAATTTCCACCAGCATTCGTCATTTATTTTTCGTTACCGAGTAATATTAATCTAAAAGTATATATTACATTTAAAAGAATGTTAGGGTATTATGGCCGTAATGGGTCAAAGCAACAAAATAATGGCGTAATTTTGTTTGCACTCTATATTAGAAAAATGGAATATTAGTAACTAGCTGTATCAGCGACGTCATCCGCGTAAAAAAATTATTTGGAGCATCCTAATTTGTTTTTTGCAAACGTCGTCTAATCATCTTCATCTTTATAAATTTAAGCTGTTACGTCCGTAGCGTTCCGTCGTTGTTGCAAGTTAATTTTAAAAGATAGACATTTACTTCATACGATAGCTTAAAAGATCATTTATGCTATCGTAGTACCGTAACATATTATCATTGCACTCATTATAGTAGTACGCTAAATATGACGCGAAATTGGCATCGCGAGTAAAGTACGTCACCCATTCATCATTGAAGTACTTAGTACTCTTTCTTCGACCTTGTGGGCCGATGTCTATTTTTATGAAAAGTATACAAAAATATCGACATACTATGTAGCACCAACTGCAGCACTAGATCATAAGACCGCCATGTTGAATGTTTTATTCGAAAATCGAATTCCATCGGAAGCGCGCGTTACGAAATCGCGCGGAAAGTGCTTTGTTTTTAAATTTTAGATCACAGATAAAATATAATTTACGCGTGGATAGTACTTTTTAAATTCATGTGACTTTGTGTGTTTCATATTTTGTGGGGTTTTTTGTTATAATTGAGCTATTTGAGTGAGTATTTTTGTAATCCCTTGATGCGTGTAATTGCATAGATCCCAGTAAATTCGTACGGATGTTTGTCATAAATTGTTGTACTAACAATGTCGGCAATATTATGTACCACGTGTATGTTTTTATATGATCCATGTACTGAAATAATAATTAACAATAATAAAAAAGTGCTAACCTAAAGCAGCCTAACTGATAAATTTCTAACTAAGAACGAGAAGAACAAAATAATTGTCATTATAATGTTAAATTATTCACTGAAAATACTTTTAAATATATTGGGTCTTTCATAAAACAACTCCGACTGACCAAATTGTAGGACGAGTCGCCCCGCAGTAGTCGCAGGTTCAAATTCCTGACGCAAATTTTTATTCATTGATGATGACTGTATGTCCAAATGTGTCTGATGTGCCACGTATCCTCCAAAAGGATATCGCTATATATGCTTGATTTATTATATAATGTAAGTACATATTAGGTGTATTTACATACTTAATATATAACTCTAAAGACTCGACCAAGACTAAAACCAATTTTAATCAAGATATAGGACTGTGTTAATTTACACGTCTTAACATTATTTGGAAGACGCTCTCGTAATTCTTGACACAAACGACACTCGAACTAAGTATTTAGTGTATATAGTTTACGCAAATAGACAAATTTGAATAAAACACTTTTAATGTTTTGTTAACTTATCTTTGATTTTATTTAACTATTGCCCGACGCTTCAGATGCTTCGAAGCCGGGGGACAGACATTTTTCAATGCGCATATAGAGTTTATTAATGTACAATTGGTATGGAACACTCACAACAAAATTATATACCTAATTATTTTACGGTAAACTTTAGTCGCTTAAATACTAAACATTTATATATTTTATAATATAAAAAATAATTTGATAGCAAACAATTGAATAAAAGCAAATTTATAATATTTAGTTGAGTTTAACATTCACGGGACCCGCGGCTGACTTTTATCATAATAGTTTTAATTTAATCTATGATAATTAGACAATTATGAATTACATAATACTTTTTATCGTAATAATTGCAGGTGCGTGAGAGCAATCTCACTTAATCGCTCAGCACACAAAGATCTTGTTAGCAACGATTTAGGGCTTCAGAGCAAAAATAAAGATCTATTTCATCTTATATTATAGATAACAAAAGATGAAATAGGTGTTTATTTTTTACCTGCGATACACTCACGAGACTAGTAAATTATTTAATTTAAATATATTGTTTGTTTGTTTATTATTTGTTTTCTATTACAAGTTTTGTTGTAAATATTAAACTATCAAACACCTGGGATCCCATATTAAAAAGACCATTTTAGTTCCCGTGGCCGCGGGGGGGGGGAAAATATTGAAATAACGTTCATGAAATCAAACTAAATTAACTATAACCAAGATCGCCTATAAATACCATTCAAATGTTATATAAAATATAAATATTCAGATGCAATAAAAAGTATCATATTAATAAAAATAGTATCCCTCATCGTTCAAGGTAACCGAAAATATTTGTGCTTGCCGGGATTCAAACTCATTACATTGTGCTAGGCTAGGCGTGGGTAATAGAAAAATTAACTAAGCGCTAATGCACTTCATTCGTACATTATATTCGTTTTATAACATACATATCTATTTATTGACAGACAAACATACAGAGCGACCGAAATTTATCAACGAACAAAAACCACTTTATTGTTACTAGAAAAGTGTTAAGGAAATATTATTAAAAACAAGTACAAAAATATGTAGCGAGAAACGACAGCCTTATCGCTATACGGCGATTTCTTCCAGACAAACTTCTAGATGGAGATTTATAATAACAATTTATAATTAGAATAAAACTAAAATAAGTTTATACATTACTAAAATTTATTTAAAGTTAAATAAATCAATAATTATAAACTAATTTATTTAATCGAATATGTAAAAGAAAGTGAGTATCAACAATTGCCAGTCGTGGAAATCTATCTCAGAGAAGACGATTTAGTTTAAATTTATATTAGGAGTTGTCCATTAATCACGTGATCTTTTTTTTGAATTTTTTAACCCCCCCTTCCCATTGGTGAGACGTAGTGAGGTTTAAGACAACCCCCCCCCCTTCTAAACATCACGTGTATTTTTAGTACCTACAAAGAATCTTAAAATTTTCTGAATATTATCTTAATTTAAATACAGGTATAGACTATAATCTTATTTTATTCTGAAATTAAAGACCATAATAAAAATGTCTACAGCATTTGTTTAAAAATCGCGCGTTTGACGAACGAAAAAATAAATACACGCGATATCTTACTACACCCCCCCCCTTGTGTTATTTTCGTGATTTTTTTAAAACCCCCCCCCTTTCAAGTTTCACGTGATTAATGGACGACCCCTTAGAGTATGTACTATTCCTTATTTTGCATCGCAGACGGTTTCGTTGGTGTACCTAATAGTGGCAATGTACGGCTAATAACCACCGGGTCGTGGGGTTCCATCCCCACCGGTTCCGACATTTTTCCAATCAAATTTTCTTTGTGAAAAAGCCGTATTAATCGCGTTTCGGTTTCAGTCTGTGGATTTCCGAATATCCAAAGTCGAAATAAGTCGACGACGCATCTCCTTTAGATGTTAAAGGCGTTTTCAGCTACCATCAAGTGACCCCATGCTGCTCTGCCTTCCGTTATCATTAAAAAAGATTTGGTACATTTCAACGTGAAAGGGTAACGACAATAAACCAGCTACATCACTTTTGTTATTAGAATAATAATAATGCATTGATCGATCTACATAAGAATTAAACCCAAGGAACAATTCTCCTGGAGTACAATCGAATATTTTATTGCACTTTTAGTATCGATACGAAGCGATTCGTTCTATAAATACAAGAGTATACGTTAGACCATTGTTCTTCCACGCTCAAACAAACATGTTGATCCCGGAATCAAAGCAATTTATATGTATATACGTTCAAAAAACATTAAAATATTCACATTTCAAGAGTTTCTTTCAGTAGGAAGTGCATTTTAAAAACTTCGTGTTAATTTAAATAAAACACTAACGGCTTAAAACGCGATATATATTAGTTAAAACTATTTTAACTACGGACCGACGTTTGGATGCTTTGCAGCAGTTATGGTCAAGGGAAACCCTTTTTAAACCGTTAGTGTTTTATTTAAATATGTACGATTATTGTTCGATA